ATATATAGAGACAAAATTAAGATTCCGAAAGAACATCTTAAAGTTTTCAATATCTTAGTGACAATAATACAAGAAACTATTGATAAATATTGTAAAAAAATGAGAAAGACCTTTAAAAAGGAAGTCTGAAACAAATATTGTAATATCATTATCAAATAAAAACAAAATCAAGAAATTAATAGCAAACTCAAAAGATTTAGAGTATTAATTGATATAATTAGAAAAATAAATCGAATTTCTAAGAAAACCAATTATTTCTCTATTCTTTCTTCTAAAAATATAATAGAAGAAGAAAAAGACTTAGAATGAATGAAGTTTCAAAACAATATAATAGATATAATAAGTAGTTGAATATTCAAAGGTTGTAAATGGTTTGATTTTTAATCACAATTAGAACTTTGGAAGATCTACAATAATAAGCTATAGGTAATGATCTGAATAATTAGAGAATAATTCAAGTCACAAAGGATGTGAAATATTATTTCCTAAGTTATATTTAGAGCCATATTAGCCTGACTGCAGGTTAAAAAAAAAAAAAATAAGTTTAAAATTTTATTAATTTTTTTGTATATATTAAAAACATATTAAAAAGTTTTATTTTTATTTTTTTATTTTTGTTTTTTAATATATATTTATATATTTTTAAATATATGCTATTTTTTTTAATTTAATTTTTTTTTCCATAATTTTTTATTATTTAGAAACTTGATAGATACTGTATATAATAATAATTTATTAATTATAAGATTTTAAATAATTCAAAATTCTTTTATAAATAAGTTCTTAAAAATATTTAATATATAAAAATGGAATACTAGCTTTTCTTTGTTTTAGTAAAAACAAAATTCTGAATCAATAATTTAAACAATAGCGAATGAATATTTTTTTAGTAAAAAAAATATTTAATTTTTGTTCTCACCTTTCTCTTTAGAAACTTAAGATTCTATGAATATAAATTTTTGAAAAGAGAATTATGATTACATCAGGTAAACCGAAAGTTTTAAGAAAATATTTCTTTGAAAGAATTCTATTGATTTAGATAAAAATAATATGTTTTACAATTAGTAATGTTGATTAATAATCGACAGTCAAAGGAAAAAAAAAAAAATAGTGTATTATTAATCGCACTAAAATGTTGTAGATATTTTTTTTTTTTTGAATTAAGGTTTATAACCCCCATCATCCTATCATTCGTTTATTTAAACATCCTGTTTGCCAAAACAAAAAGACCAGTGATCATCAGCACATATTTTTGTTTAACAATGTATTCCTGGATTTTATGATGAAATTGACAGAATTGTGCATTAGGAAGAATAAAGAAGTTGCAAGAAGGGATCTTTCGTATCCACATCTCGCACGAGCTGAATGCGAGGTTTAGAATTTCAACAATGTTTGTATAATTCGGTATGACATGTGCTTGTGAAAAGACGGGCATTTATTTTTGAGTAACTCTTAATTGAATAAAGAAAATTAAATAATGCCTCGGTTTATTCATTAAACTAATTGTTGCATGATTCCAGTAAAGAGGTTGTTTCTGATAATCTATCTGGTCAAGGTCGAGAGGCGAACTCGAATTACAAAAATTCGTCAACACCTATTTTTATCGCAGCATTCCAAGCGTGAAACTAAAAAGCGAGGCATGCACTCCCGTAATAAATTGTCTAGAGTCGTTCCGCCATTATATGAGGCTGAGAAAAAAGTTTTTTTTTTGCCAATGAAAAAATTTGAGGATCAATACCCAAAAGAACTTTACCACATAAATAGTTGATCTATTGTGACACAAAACTCTAGCATAAGTTACGTATGTAAGTACGATAGCAAACAAGCGTTCGTAATAGCATTACACAATCACTCATAATCGTCACTTATATTCGTCTTGTGAATTTTTCAGGATTTTGCTTCAACACTTTCAATTTTCGAACTTTTCTTTTTTTCAACTGCAAATATGAACAACAATTCACCTTGCTTCCCGTTAACCCGAAGCCACCATCAAACAAACCTTTTTCATCAAAATAACACTTTCCATCCTCTACGAACTCTTGACGTCCAACAAAGGTTGACGTATAGAGAAAGGCTTATGACTGCTGGCGCCTCCGAGGGGATAACTAAAGGTAGATCCTTGATGATGTTTCGAAGTTTATCTCGAATGAATTTTAAGTTTTTCCTTTTTCCTTGAAGTGACGGGTAAACGAAAACCTGGTGATGATTCTGATGATTCTATGAGTGAAAGCAAAAGCCCACCAAGTTCCCCCAGAATTAACAACCATACACATGAAATGGACATAACAGTTAAGAGGGCTAAGCTCAGCAACGAAAAAGTGTTTCCTCTGAGCAAACTGTTGGGTAATGATTACAAGCTTTATTATTATATATATATATATATATATATATTTTTCGACGCCAAAATTTGAACCCTCTCTATTTATCAATAAGGGACTCTTGACAAACCGCAGTTGTTGTCACTAATAAACAACCTTATGGATGCGCACCCTAACCTACAGTCAGAAATCGCTTCCCACATCCCTCGACCAACTATTCAATCGGTTACACATATTTTGGCGGGGATGGAGAAAAAGTATCAGGATAGTTTTCCATACACCAAATGGGGGCAGTCTAAAGATGATTATAGTTTCAATCGAGTGAAACCGGCGATCGTGGAATTAACGGTATTTTATTAATTACGAGATACCAGCAATTATCGAACTTTTTTTTTTTTTTCCTTCGATTAATTCGATACACTATTCGATATGCAGGATGCTATTTTGGACTATGCAGACCATTTTACATCCCCAGAGGAATTTCCAACCAGCACGTTCTCCTTCCTTCATCTTGCCACTGGCGTTACGAACCGATTGCCAGAGTGGGACAATAGCTTGCATAACGAACTCAAACGTGATATCTATCTGAAACTGGTCGACTATTGGAAGAAAGCTATTAATGATGCTTCAAGTAAACTCCATGAGGGCAAAATATATGGACAAACGGTTGTCAACGAATGGGCAAGAAAGTGGGGAAATTTTAATAATAATGTCTCGTTGTTTTTTTCTTCTGCATCTTTGTAACCATTTGGTCGTTTTTTTTTTTGTTTTTTTTTTTTTTTACAAAGTCTTGTACAGCACAACCGAGAATCTAGTGGCATATTTCAACAAGTACTTGAGGAATTTGTTGAGAAACTTGGTGGCATCATTGGACTTCAAAAAGTGGGATCCAACGTAACAAATACATCAACAACTTTTTCCTTTGCTTCCGGAATCGGAGGCATGAATTCTAATAATAATTCGATGAATCGCTACAATTTTTCAATCATGTCAACGTGACAAATCTGACTGGTCAGGAATATAGAAAATGACACGCGATCTTCTGAGGAATATAATTGTTGCAAGACAATTCATGGTCACGGAGACATGTAAATTTTGGAGTTCGTCGGGTTTTAAATGGCTTACGATTTTTTTCTTCCTTTATAATACTCTTGATTGGGTTAAGATTAATCAAACTTCTTCGAGCCACGGGATAGAAATTCTTTAAACATACCTTTCCATTCATATGAGGAAAAATAAATTTATATATTATTATAGGCTCATTGTTTATATGATCAAAATAGATTTCCTTATGAAATATTGACACTCCTTTTTTGTTTAAGAAAAAAAAAAAAAAAAAAAAGAAATCATTCTTTGGTAAGGGCACGTGTGATTATGAGTTGGAGTGGTAATGATGAGTCCGGGCATAGCAGGCATAATTAAATATTAAATGTTAAATCCAGATTCCATTAGCATCATCCCCTTTTTTAATCTCTTACCAGTGTGTTTAAGATTACGGTATAATCCTTTGACAATCACAGTGCGTTAACACAACTAGAGGTCCAATATTAAATTAAGTTTTGATCACAAAATATGTTTGTTGGATCTAATGTTCTGGCAATTGATATTTTATTGATAAATAAGATCATTTAGAATCAGTTTATCTTTAATAAAATAAGGAAGCATGTAACCAATCACACATTTACCTTTTAACATGTTTCAAAATTTCCAGAGCTGGCTATATAATCGTAGCAATTTGATTAAAAATTTTTATTTAAAAGAATGGAACAGAAATAATCGTCAAAGCAATCACCTCTGGTAAAGATTCCAAAAGGCATTTCCTTTTCTTTTTTCCAATGCCTGATGCACGATGTGAAACCGATCCATTCAGTCTCAACATTTCAGCCAATGCCGCTCGTTCCACGCATCTTAATGCATCAAGTGGATCATCAAGATTTCGACAATTGAATCCATAGATAAACGTCAGACCTACTCCCGTGTCGTATCTACGAAGATAAATTTCTTTCAGTATGGACGTGGTGTAATATTCGAAATCAGATATCGAGCCACGAAATTAATTACAGATAGTCAACTCGAACACCGACGTATGGCCTCGTTTTAACTCCTCGAGTTTTACAAGTGGTGATAATTATTCGCTTAACTCCTTCAACTAGTTCCTCAATGTTTGACCATGATGTGGTAGTGTCAATATAATCGGACACTGCGTAATAGTCAAGAAGAAAGTCCCGGAGATATGGCAACCCCTGAGGCATAAAAATTATAAATTGAACATTGGAAAAAAGCAAATGCATTGTTCAACAGTTCTTACCTTTGACGAGAAAAACATCGTCTCACTCAATTCCCTTCCGACCATCACCCCTCCGTATCTCTCAACAACCTCATGAACCCTTTTTTTATATGTTTCAAACTTTATAGCGTCTTCGCCATTAAGAATTAAAGAGGCCAAGCACATTTTCCCCACACTCAACCCTTTCATTTTCTTCCAATAGTATCTTTTGATGTAATCCCAGAACACAGTTGTTACATTGGGTATCGCGGTGCTAAACGCTTCCACAAGTTGCAACCCCTCCTCATCCACAAAGTGTACTCCACCACAGTTGTCGATGATTTTTTTTTGTACAATCTCGCGAAGAAACAGGAGCCCACTGCGAAATGACGGAAAGTAGAGAGAAATAGAGTCACGATAGGGCGCGACATGATGTAGTTTAAAAGTTAATTCGGTTATGACACCTAATGTTCCTTCGGAGCCTAGTAATAAATTTGTTATGTCTGGGCCCGAAGATATCGGCGGTGGATGAACGCTGTTCTTTTGTATTGTGCCTATTTAAAAAGATAATTCGTTAAATGTTTGCCGCCGATTGCATCGCCGAAAATGAAAAATTGATAACCTGCAGGGGTGACTATTTTGACGTTGACGATGCCATTTTCGAAATCCCTTGAACGCATGGACGCCAATCCTCCAACTGTGCTGAATTCCATCTGAATAATATTTTGTTTTTTTTTTTTCAGATTTTTTTAAGAAGACCATAATGTTACCTGTTGTGTGAGTGAAAGACGAAACAAAAAAAAATTTTTTTTTTTTTTCGAGGATACAAATTACTGAAATACACAAACCAACCAATTCAATGTCCCATCCTAAAGTAAATCCCAACTTCCGTAATTCTCCTTCCAAATCTTGAGCCACCGCGCCGGCTTCTACGGTAACGCACATGTTTTCAGCATTCAATGATACGATCCTGTTCATCTGTCTTAAATCCAAAGAAACGATCATTCTTTTCCTATTTTCGGAGGGGCACTCCAACGCGTCCACATCATTGGAACCGCCACCATATGGAATACAGCCAACGTCGTGCGTTTGGGCTGCCAAAATAATAAGTTCAACTTGTCCATGGCTTTCCGGCCAAATGACGGCGTCTGGTATCCTGGGCAAGTTGCCGTATCTCAATTTGTAAATTTCTTTAGTGCTTGTGCCATGCCCGTGAGACAGTCGATCCTGTTCCGCGAAGGAGAAGATTATTCCTTGAGGTCTTATTGTGTCGTAAAACTTGTGGTTCACCTCAGGACTGGGTATGTCAATTATGGTAGGTTGTGCGGGGCAGAGGGTTTTTAAGTTTATTCGTAATGTCTGTTCAAGCCAAGGACGAAGTTCATGGAATTCCTTCGAGCTAAAATTGGAATAACGATTGCCCGACAAAAAGGCAGTTCCTCGTTCATTGAATTTAAAAAATGTGTCCTTGTATCCGTGACCATTCCACTTTCTGTCTTGATTCGTACGAGCTGCCAAGCTTTGGCTTGGTGACGAAGTCCGCCATTCCGTTTGGCTTTGACTGTCTCCTGCACCATTCTCGAGATGATTTCGCAGGGCAATGAGTCGTTTTGACGCGCTCGAAAAATCATCCTCGGGCATTCTTTTTATTAATAATGCGTGATTCGACACCCAAACCTATAACGATAATCTTGCATGATGCAATAATGCAGGTGTTCACAATTAAGTACAAGATCTGCAAAAAAGGTTTCGGGAAAACAATGACTCTGATTGGTCGTCAAACCCGTGGTAAACATTACATGTTATCTATTTTTCGTTGATTTCTTTTGTTTTTTTTATGCTTTTTCTTCTTCTTTATTTTATTTGACGCTTTGGAATCTACCGTCGAAAAATCATCCAAATGACCGCGCAACCTTTTCCCACCTGATGTTTTAGAATTTTGATCATCATCTCGAGAGACATCACCATTTTCCGAGGTGCCCGCGAGCAATACCGTGCTTGAAGGTGGCATCAAATGCTCATTTGCGTTTGGTTGTCGAGGCTTCTTGTTCATGCTAGGGAAACGTCAACCTGATTTAGTTTCACCATTGCTATTATTATTGAAATTTCATTTTCGTTTTTCCCTTTTTACCTATTCAAGTCTAACGGTCCCGTAGAACTCTTGACAAAACTATTATACGTGAATCGCCTGCTCACAACCTGCTCTTTCGACGAAGGCGAATCACCGGCCTCGCTTTCACCGAGATTTGTCGATTCCAAGTTGCACGTGGCATCCGAAAGAGTGTATCGCGACTCGCTAGTGCTAATAATTCCCATCTGATTCCTTGGAATTCTACTCTTACCAACAACCTTGGAAACCTTGACATCCTTTGAAAATAAAATTTTCAGTATTCGCGACTGGAATACATAGACCGATTAAATTCACCTTGGAGGGACGAAAGAAATGTGGTGTGATATTTACCCCATCGACTGTTTTTGATACTTTTATGTTATCCAGAGTATTGTTGTATACGTGATCCCACCATTCGAATGACCAATCCGCCGAGTTGTCGCCAAGCTAAGATATGCATTGAGGTTAATAAACGACACAATTCTACAATATCATAATATCATATACGCACGTATATGTGTGTGTGAAAACGAGAAAATTGGATTTCATACTCCTCGAGTATCATTCTTCTCTGACACGACAATAGGCTTCTTCCTTCCCTCAGAATTCTTTCCTAAACCTTGGCCTTGAGACCAACCGTACTTCTTGAGTTGATTTATTGCGAAATTGTTTGCCATGAGAGTTGGGGAGATTCCACTTATTCGATCGATAATCAGTCGATAAATCTTGTGGCACAGATTCCTTGATTGGCTAATCATACTCAACAGATTAACGAATCAAGTGCGTATGTGCGTGTTACGCACATTCTTCCTTCTGTCTTGGAGAAAAATGGGATACTCTAAACTCACATATCTTTACGGATATTCCATCACCCTCCTCCTCATTGTATTATTTATCCTTCTCTTAACAGGACAGATAGATCTTTTTTCAATACTGTCGTCCACTAGCCCTCACTCTTGGGCGTTGCTTGGCATAGCGTTCTGCATAGGATTTAGTGTTGTCGGTGCGGCATGGTAAGGAACTTGCGCACACGTTTTCCTCTTACGTAACCGTCGTCAAGCAGTTTTTAATTATACGAATTACCACCTTAGGGGTATTTTCGTCACGGGTTCGAGTATCCTCGGCGGAGCTGTCAAGGCTCCCAGAATTAAAACCAAAAATCTAATAAGGTGTGCGGTAAAATAATGTTCTTTTCTTAATGGTCGTGTCATCATCATTATTTACCAGGAATCCGTGGTTCGTTTCTTTTCCTTTTTTTTCTTTTTTTTTCTTTTTTTTCTCGAATACGCAAGCATCATATTCTGTGAAGTGGTTGCCATCTATGGTGTCATCATGGCGATCGTGTTTTCGGCAAAATTACAAAGCGTGTCCGGCATGGACCTGTACTCTCCTTCGAATTATTATACAGGCAATTGAGAAAAATCCATTCACTTTTTGAAGCTCAGAATAACAGTCGATTTTCGGAAATTAATTTAACATCACTCTTGTTCAATACATATATGTAAATATAAAAGGCTATTCGATTTTTTGGGGAGGCCTGACGGTGGGATTTTGCAATTTTTTTTGCGGAATAGCCGTGGGCATTACGGGAAGCACCGCCGCCCTGGCAGATGCACAGAATCCTGCATTATTCGTTAAAATTCTCGTGGTCGAAATTTTTGGGAGTGTGCTCGGTTTATTTGGTTTGATCATTGGGCTACTTGTGGTCAGTTTTGAATCCTTTGTCACTCCTATTCCCGTGATGCTTTCAATTATATGCGCGCACGCTCACCTTTTCTTGTCTTGATATCGATAGACCGGAAAAGCCGGAGAATTTGCATGATGAATGGGGCTTTTTTGCACACCCACGACCTCTTCTCTCAGGTGTTCATTAATATATCTATTAAAATAAAACAAGTGTACCATATGAAACGTGTAAATGTGCATGAAGTGCATGAGATGGGTTTGATTTGTGTTGTAAAGTGTCCATTCATAGAATCAGGTCGTTATATGAAGCCCGAATAAAATAGGTTACACGATTTTGTCCACGTGATATGAATCATGGTGACCTCGTGGTTGATTGCTGCGTTCAATCGTGAAAGGAAGAGTCACCATCCGCTGCCCGCCAATTGCCACATGAACAACAATACCAAAAATTGCCATCAGGCACCATCCGAAGAACCTTTGAATCATTGAATAGACAACAAGCGATTGTGAAAATGCTGCGTAATTCGGATAATTAAGGAAATTCGGTGTTTGTCGTGTTGTCCATTAATGCGTTTATTGCATTGCCTAATTTAGTAATAAATATTAATTTCGCACGATTGTGATTTTAAAAGTCGAGATCAAATTCGACCCTGTGATGGTCATTAAAACTTGTTACAATTAGAAATTCTTTTAAAGAATTCTTTTTCGTCTTTTTTTCTATTGTTTTTTAAGCTTAAACTTGTATGCAAAACGGGTTGTGAGTGAGAAGAGCTGAACGCATTCTTCTTGTTTCCTTATTTTGGACGGATTCCCAGGTGAATTGTCAGGTCATTGTGTGTGTGTGTATGTATCCGATCTACAACAAGATAAGGGAACTGCCGACAATGCTACGCCATTTTCATCAGCGTAAAAATGGCAAAATTCGATTCTTGCCTATCCCCGTATAGAAAAATTTCAATTGGCCTCATCCTTGGTATAGAAATAAAATATCTACGACAATTTCAATTATCGACGTAACTGTGAAGATTGTTATAGTCATTAAAGTTTAACTGTAGTACAAGGAAAGATGAACAAAAACAAAAAACCCGAAAAAACCGTTTTTTTTTTTTTTTTTTTTTGATGACATATTGATATGACATGATGCCACCAGGATATATATAATGTATATTAGGTTCGTGCCTATTCGTCATGGGACGTTACCCGACCATTCCACATTGCCCTGTTGTCAAATTTTCAATGGTTCCCGTAAATTTAACCTTTTTTTTCCTGAAAATAACTCGGCTTGCAAAAAAGAATCGGCACTTGTCTTTTACGGTCACCCTGATGCAAGAGACGTCCAGTAGCCGGATGTGGATTATATGATTTACCGTGACCCACCTTTCCCATAGGGAATGTGCTATGCTATTCAACGATACACGGCGTTAAAGAGGTGAAATACCTTTTTTCATGCGGCTGGAATAATTACCACAAAGCACCATTAATATACGACACTTAAATCGTCATGTATATATCCATGTGTAATTTCATTTATTCATGCACCTCGGGATTATCTCTCGCGCAGTCTCACAATTTATTATACTATATTGCCAAATGGGTGACGATTATGTTGGTTAATGAGGCTGACCGCGATTGGTCCTCGCACTTTTAAATCGGGTTTATTTTTTTTTTTTAATTGGTCCTTTGCTAGTTCATGCAAACGTAACCCCAGCAGCACGTATTTTTTTTAGCACCTCTGGCGTAGAAATATTTTTTTAGCTTATTTGGACCTCTTTCGCCCTTTTATATCCTGTCCCAAACTCTTACTCAACCTCTCTCTCTCTCTCTTTCTCTCCTCGTCCGCTCCTTTGCGATTAAAAAAAAAATAAAAAAATTTTTTTTTTTGATTTCACCAACCCAACACTACTACTACTGCTATTTTTTTATTGTGTCTTGCCTCGCTTCAAAGCAAGAGCTTTTCCTTTATTCAAAAGATTTAATTTTACCCTAAAAAAAAAAAAAAAAAATGAGAGAAATCATTCACTTGCAAACAGGTATACTCCAAAAATCCCTTTGTCTGTCACTTGTTCTCGCTTTACGTCCGCTCTCTTGCTTATCGCGTTGTTTTCTTGTTTACTTCCCCTAGGTCAATGCGGTAACCAGGTACTTTATCAAACCACGAGATAGCTATCAAGAATACAAAAAACTTGGCTTAACCTTGTTTCCATCGAACTCGAATCGACAGGCCACAACAAATAACGCGTCCCGCTTTTGTTTATTCTATCGACTGACCAAACTTTGCCTTTGCTTTTTTTATCGCGTCATCTGAACTTAGATCGGTCAAAAGTTCTGGGAGGCTATCTCCGCTGAACACGGCCTTGACCCCACGGGCGCATACCACGGAGACAGCGACCTACAATTGGAGCGTATCAACGTATACTATAATGAAGCGGTTGGTGGAAAATATGTCCCAAGGTTGGTTGATTCTTAGAGCGAAAAGGTGTACGATCGATACGCACCCCTTTTCGTCGTTCACTGTTTGTGCGCTTCCCCGTCGTAGCTTGATCACGGCGCAAGTCGTCTAAAAAAATTTTTTTTCTTTCTTTTCCTTCTCCTGTGCGTTCTTCTACACAGGGCTATACTGATAGATCTTGAGCCCGTGACCATGGATTCCATCCGATCCAGCCCATATGGTGCCCTCTTCCGACCAGATAACTTTGTGTTCGGTCAATCTGGTGCTGGCAACAACTGGGCCAAAGGTTATTACACTGAAGGTGCCGAATTGGTCGACTCCATCCTAGACGTCCTTCGCAAAGAATCAGAATCGACCGATTGTCTCCAAGGCTTTCAAGTGACCCACTCTCTCGGTGGGGGTACGGGTTCCGGTCTCGGTTCGTTGTTGTTGTCCAAGATCCGTGAAGAGTACCCAGATCGCATGCTGTGTACATTCTCCGTAGTTCCGTCACCAAAAGTGTCAGATACTGTCGTTGAACCGTATAACGCAGTACTTTCAGTTCATCAATTGGTGGAAAACAGCGACGAAACCTTCTGCATTGATAACGAGGCTTTGTATGATATTTGCTTCCGCACGCTAAAACTGACGAATCCAAGTTATGGCGATCTCAACCATCTCGTGTCGGCCGTCATCAGCGGTATCACGACCTGCTTACGATTCCCCGGCCAGTTAAACAGTGATTTAAGGAAACTCGCCGTCAATATGGGTATGTCATTCTCTCCTTTCGATCGCATTTTTATCCGTTGCAAATACGCGAAATAGTTCTTAATCAATCCTCGCAATTACTCGAAGTTCCCTTCCCACGTTTACATTTCTTCATGGTCGGCTTTGCTCCGTTGACCTCACGTAGCTCCCAAGGCTTCCGCGCTCTAACTGTACCAGAATTAACAGCTCAAATGTTCGACTCCCGAAACATGATGGCCGCTTCGGACCCTCGTCACGGTCGTTACTTGACCGTTGCCACCATTTTCCGCGGAAGACTTTCTACCAAGGAAGTCGAGCAACAGATGCACATGATCCAAACCAAGATGAGCTCCTACTTTGTTGAATGGATCCCGTCAAGTGTGAAGACTGCCGTGTGTGATATTCCTCCGATCGGTCTCACGATGTCTGGTACCTTTGTCGGTAATAGCACAGCCATCCAGGAACTCTTCAAACGCATAAATACGCAGTTCACCGCTATGTTTAGACGAAAAGCCTTCTTACATTGGTATACCGGTGAGGGTATGGATGAAATGGAATTTACCGAGGCCGAATCTAACATGAATGACTTGGTTTCCGAATACCAGCAATATCAAGAAGCATCCAGTACGTGTTGTTTCTTCTAACTTATCCAGATTCTTTTTCGATCTTACTAACGTGTGCACTTAATCATTCCTTCACCCCTCACTAGCTGAAGAGGATGGCGAATACGAAGAAGGTGGAGAAGAAGAGTACGCTGCCGAAGAGGATGCCGAATAAAATCTCGTACGGTATAGTTGGCGAAGGTTTCTTACCAATAGATTTTAAAAGTAATCCGATATATCTTCTTCATTTATGATACCACTTATATATTAGACTTTTTGCTTCCGTCACATTTAAACACTCAATCATATGTAGCTCTTTCGCTTGTAATATAACAGCAATTATTTTTCATTATTACTACTCCTTTTTTTTTTTACTCGTCTTCTCTGGCGATCACAGCGGAATTATAAGATAATTTTTATCGTTGGGAATCCGTTATTTTGAAGGGGCTTCTTTTAAAAAAACCAAAAAAAAAACGCAATATAAAGCATGGAGGATTCATTATTCTATCAAGTCGAATGAATGACTATTAATTTTTTATTTTATACGACAGGAAAATGAACAATTACTTTTTTTTCTCTTACTATATATCAACTTATATAGAGTGCTAAAAAAAAAATACAAAAATGTGATAAAAAAAAATGTTCTTCAAAAATTATTGTTTTATAATATTAATTTATGTATTGATTATTTTATTTATAGCTAAATGATATTCAAAATCCTTAATAAATTTGAATTGCTTTAAAATAAATAAATAATTTATTATTTGATATATTCAATTTTTTTGACCATATGATAAATATATTATAAAAAATACTAAATTTTTATTAAATAATATACTGTATATTGTATATATTTTTTATTTTTATTATTATTATTTTTTTTAAATTTAATTTACTTGATTATATGAGCAATTTACCTAATCTGTTCTATTCAAAATTCAAGATCAAATTAAAATAATACATCTTTTTTCTTTTCACAGAAGAATATTGTTCAAGCATTATCATTGATAAATCCTTTATAAAGAGGTAAAAGTTTTTTGATAAGTCTAATGTGTTCTAAAGATATATTATTTGTTCTATCTCAGTTTCTCCTGAAAGTCTTGAAGTAAATACATCCATTTTGAAATCTATATTTTTCTTGATATGATATGGATTGATGCTAAAATGTTTTTCTATTTTTTGTCTTATATATTTGTTATTCTATTATATTATCCTTTCTAATTTTTTCATTAATGATTTTTATTTCAATTTTGTCTTTTAGTTCTTTATCTCACATTTTGACTTCAGTAATAATAGGGATTTCAATTAATATAATTGTTTGAACTTTTATGATCCATAGATAGATAATATATTGTTTAAGAATATTGACTTTAATAAAGATAATATAATCAACATCCAGAATTCTAGTAATAATACTATCTATAATTGAGTATGTAATTGGACTTGAGATTAGGTTTATAATAGTTTTATGAGTTGAGATGACATTTAAAAAGGTTTGTTTTTTTTTTTTGAGTACCTGTAGTCAGGTTAGATTGTCAGTTTATTAATCAATTGAAAACATAAGTACATTTTCATTCGAGTAGTATGATACATACTACAGCTAAACTATTATTTTAATCTAACTAACTCGTCTTAAGCATAAAAGCCTCTAAGTTCAGTCTTGAGGACAATATTTCGCTTCGCAGTATCTTTAGATGAAAACCTTCCTAGTCCACTACATTATTGCCAGCAGGTTGTCACTGCTATATATCATATCAAGCTGCTGAAATATAGGAAACTATAAAAGGATGGGTTGAAAAAAAGGGAAGGGGGGATATCTAAAAATGTCTAAACAGATAACAAGAAAGTGAAAAAGTAAAAATTGAAAAAAATTTTTTCCAGCTTTCTTCAAAGATCTGCTTTTCAAGACCTCTTCTCAATAAGAAATGTCTAATTGGGATATCTTTTCTTTTCCTGACCGTCTGAGGAACTTATCCATTCTTGATCTTGATTTCCTTCTTGTATACCATCTGAGAAGACTTATCATCTAGTAGGAGCCTTTACTTTCAAAACACACTTAGTCCCAACCTTCTTTAGGCAGTGATTTTTTATCCACCTGCAATAAACAAATGACTTATGATGGACCCCAGGTTCTTATGGGACCTAGTAGGAACTAGGTTATATTGTTTCAGTATAATATCTTCCAATAGCCATACCTAATTAAAAAAATTTTACCGATATACATCTTCCATTACCCAAAAGGCCAGATTCCTCAATAATCCTTTTGCCTTGTAATGGTGAAAGGTTCACAAGAGTGGTGGGGATCCTCATCGATTGTGATATCTTTCAACAACTTTTGGGAAAATGCATTCTCAACTGTAACCAAAGAGTTGGAGCTTAGTATGGACTAGAGACCATTCGGTCTTATTGCCTGACCAGAATAAGAGGAAGACCTTGGTCTTGAACTTTGCCTGACCAGAATGATAGGAGAAAAAGATCTCAACTTGAACAAATAGCAGCTTTTTCACTACCTGGGGACTTGTTGCTCGTATCTTATTGGTCTCATGGTACTTGATTTGTAGGTTAACCCAATTGGAGGAATGGAGTGGACGTGAAGCACTGATCAACTCTTTCTGTCATCAATGACACCATTGGAACATGTGAGATGACTAATAAAAGCTTGTTTACATTCTGTTACTAACATGTTTCGTGTTAACCAATCAGATGCCAGGTGACATTATACTACCAAAAATTCAGGGTCAAACTGAGGTAGGCAAAATTCCTCAAAAAACCATGAAAAATAGTAGACACTTTAAAAGAATATAAGACAGTATGTAAGAAAGTGGATAATAAGCCTTCCCTTGCCAACAAAACCTCTATTGTTATCGCTTCTAGCTCTATAAGGTGACACTCCACTTGTCAGTTCTTTTACTTCCTAGAATCTTCTTGCCCTTAGTAGAGGAAATGCATACTTGAGTCTTTTCAGGCCACTAGAGGCTCAAGTTTTTATTCAAAGAAGTTTATAAACAAGTAAGGGATGGTAGAAGAAATACATGAAGACAAGCTTCAAGTTGTTTTAATGAAAGTGTAAAGACTTTATTAGTAAAGAAGTATAAAACTTCTTGCAAACAATTTTTTTGTATATGGTCAGAGGATCGACGGAAAAATTTTTTTTTTCATTTAAGAAGGTTTGTGAAATCCATAATTTTCTTTATTGATATACTTGTCCATTAATTAAAATAAAGTTTCAATAATATGTGTTTCTCTTTTCTTAATAACCTGTAAGAATTTGTATTTTCTTATAAACATTTTGATCATATAATATAAAGAATAGATTGTTATATATAGTATTGATATATTTTTTGTTTTGCTATTTTAGTATTGTTAAATTTGCTAAGTTAAGTGATGTTTATCACTTATTTATTTAAGTAGTGCTTGCTTGTTTATTTATATTTATTGTTTATTCTTGTTTATATAAACAAGATATTGATTAGTTAATTATAAGCTGTATTACTATTTTTAGATCTAATGTATTGTTAATAACTATTATTATATATGAGTATAAAATATAAACATATAATAAGTTGTTTATTAGACATATAAGTAAATTATTATTCAAGTTAGCAGATATAACATATTTGTATTATATGATTCTAGATATTAAGTGTTATTGTATTGTTTATGTTACTCTCTACTATTAAGTAATTGAGATTTAGATATTCTTCTAAATGTTATGGGCTCTGAGCTTTTAAGCGATTTATTGATTGAAATTATTATCTATAGTACTTCTCTTAGTAGCAAGAAAGGTGTTAACCTACACTAGCCTGGCTAAAAACTTTGTGAAGTTAAGGTTGAATCTTTAGAAGCTTACTGTGAATTTGTTTTCTTGAAGTTTTTCTTTTTTTATAAAGAAAAATTATGCTGTAACAGTTTTTTTTTTATACTTATCCTATAATTGTTATTATAAAGAAGTATAATATTTTGTAACTTAATAGCAAATAATTATTGTTTTTAGATTATATATTTCTTAAATATTAAAAGTTGACTTCTAGATTTTCAAAAAATATTATCAAAAAAAATTTTTTTTAAAGAAATTGGAATTAGCAAAGGAGTTTTTTTTTAAAAAAATTTTTATTAATGTTTTTAAAAATATTTATTATAATAAGAAATATATTTTTTATTCTTTTTCTGCTAATCCTCTGATCACACACAAAAAAGATATTTGCAAGAAATTTTTTACTTTTTTACTAATAAAGTCTTAATACTTTCTATAAAATAACTTGAAATCTGATTTCTAGAGTTATTTCTATCTTTTTCTATTATTTACAAGTCTCTTCATTCAAAAAATTGACTTCCGGCTATCAAAAAAAATCAAGTAATACCTTTGATACTAATGGCAAAAAAGTTTTCAAAGGAAGATGAATTAATTATAAAGTACTTAAAGATCCTCTAATTTTGGAAATAAGAGGTTTACAAAGATTTTGCTGCAATTAAAAGATTTATTTTTTCTCTTTTAAACTGTTCTAGCCCTCTTAAAGCTTCTACTTTTATAATTTTTTGAGAAATTTTAATACCTTAGTTTGATCCTAAATTTTTAGTAATACAAATCCTCATCAAAAGTAATTGGTTGATATGAACATATTAGTTTCTGAAATATAAATAAGCTCCTATTGATCACACTCATATGTTTCAATGATGTTATTAGTAATTAAAAAGAATGTTTCAGAAACATTTGTCTTTAAAATGCTCAAGTCCCTTAATAAAAACTTCTATAATACCAAAAGATCAAGTGATAGGTAATATAGATTGTAAACTTCTATCTTTTATTTGTTTTTTAGATAGTAATAAAACTTTAATAGAAAAAGCTGAGATCTAAATGCTTTCTTTAAGATATTTCAATCTAATACTCACTTATATAAAGAACCTGTTAAATTAATTTGTTTAATGCTATAGGTAATGAAAATAAAGATTTTTTCTGAGATTTAAGTGAAGCAAGAAACTATTTCAATTGGGTAGATCCCTTTTAAGAAGAGGTTGTTTTTATTTTTGGATTTTTTTGATGAATCTTGAATTGTTTCCTTTTTTCAAATCAATTTTTTTCTTTTTCTTTTTAACTTAACAATTCATTGATTTTCAGATTAATCAACAATAATAAACTGCTGACAATGATTTTGATAGATAGAAGTTATTAACAAT